CACACACACACACACACACACACACACACACACACACACACACACACACACAAACATGCAGACACAATATAGCAAATGATAATAGGTTTTTTTATTGAAAGTGATGTCAAATGAATGTTGAATAAAGGCAAACATACACCGTTTGTGGACGATATTTTTTGTACACAATCAATCGTTAAACAAAAAAAAGTCGAAACCCATACCTGCGAATAGTAAGGCCACATGAGTGTTAAAACGGTGGCCACGCCGCAATAAGCAATCGTACTCAGGAACAGAGAAGCGACGATCGCCAGCGGTATGTCTCTTTTGGGATTTTTTGTTTCTTCACCTGTTGGTAAGAATCAAAAACAAATCCATCTTATACTGACCAGTATATTGGTTGCGACGGAACAAAAAATTATATGATACTCACCAGTAGTGGCGATCGAATCGAAACCAATGAATCCGTAGAAACATTTCGCAGCTCCCGCTGCTACGCCGACCCATCCGAATGGTAAGAATCCGCCCTCGCCGCCTTTTGCTTCTGGTGGTATTTCGCTTTTCGGAATTGACCAGTTTGAGTAATTTGCTGAAATTGTGCATTTCAACATAGTTGTTATTTTCGTCGTAAAATATTAAGCGTTCTACGATTGGGTCAGAATTTCGATTATAGCACTCACCTTTGTAAAACCCGGTGACAATCACGGTGCAAACGGTCATCAGATTTAGTGCGGTAAATATGTTGTTGGTAAACGACGATTCACGAACACCCCAAGCCACCAATACTACGAAAAAAAAAACGTAAAACAATTCAATCGGCTATAGGTATTGACGTGTTGTTCAAATTAATATTTTGTTTGAAAAAATAATAATTAATAACAAACAATTGAATTAATTATTATATACATTATGCATAGTTAGACATATTAGAAAAGTACCTAAAGTACAGTGTATTTTGGACATAAAAAATGTACAAATAAGTGCAACTTTTGGAATCATTTGGTCTATAATGTTAGTATGTTACAGAAACCGGATAAGATAGGTTGGGCTAGGTCGTCTGGACCAATGGTTACTAAAATCATGATTTATTCAACAATAATAATAATAATGTTATCTATCAAAATAACAGTATAGGTACTCTGTTACAAAAAATGGTTAAAAATCCATTTATGGTAATAATATTGGTATATTGACCTGTTGTTATAGTGTCATATGAAATATATTATAAAATATTGGTTAGGTAAAAATAATCTCATCAGTAAAAATAAAATAATTTTAACTTCCATTTTAAGTGACTACAATAATTAATAGAAAACTAAATTGGTTATAGATTATTTATGTTTATTTTTTAATTGTTAGTACACTTGGAATAATAATTTATCGTTAAGTTAGGTAATTATAGATAAATAGTACTTTAAATGTTTGTATATTTACAAGGTGTAACAGTAATGTAGTTGATGAAATGACTTTTGTTTTAATTAATTTTAAAACATTTTTTTTTTTTTTGCCTAACTTGTAGACACTTGCACTACAAGTACAGTGCTATGACATTTTTATTTTTATTCTTCATACTAAAAATTCAAAATGTTATTACATTTTTGTTTTGGAAAAATTCAAATTTGTTAATCTAATTTCAAGATAACTTTTGATGGTAAAACTTATAAGTTAAGTAGTTTTTTTAAATGTCAATATTTGTTTATGATAAATTCATTTGAAACTTAATAACTTTTTTCAAAATATTCTCTTTGGGAATTTACTGACATAAATAAATTATTTTTTATCCATAAAATATATTTCATAATTTTTTTCAAACATTTAACTAGTATCAATTTTTATTTTTATTTGTCAGGTCTTTCTGTTACACCCTATGTATATACATTATTTATTGTAAGTATTTGATGTAATTATATGTAATTCGTAGTATTTACACTTTATACTTAGATAAAAATGTTATTGGGGGACGAGGTGACCGAGTGGTCTGACTCTTCCGCTGCGAC